ATATATATATGTTTGTGTGTGTGTGCGTGTGTGTGTGTGTGTGTGTGTGTGTGAGTGTGTGTTGTGAAATGAAGAGGTTGTAAAAAGGGGAGGGTGGGGTATGATAGCAATAAACCGTTCGCTGTTTCCCTCTCGTTTGTTTTTATATAAAATCATTATGTGCTTAAGTGGTGCTTTTTTGTTCGCATGCTGTTGCTTTTTTCCCCCCAAATGAGTATGGAGTGGAAAAGAAGGCAGGTTTTTTTTTCGTTTTTTTTTTTTGGGGGGGGGGCTGTTACGACAATCAGGATTCTGTCTGAGCCAGTCTAACTGATTGTCGCCGCTTGTGTCTCATCTCTCGCTCGAGTGGCCTTTGAGTGGCCCACTCCTCTCATTACGGTCAATACTTAGGAGACTCATGGAGAAGGGAGTCCAAGATTGATGCTTGTGGATAAACGGGCGACTTTAAGGAGGAGATGAGGGGAGGAAATGGGGAAGGGGGGTGGGGGTGGAGGTTAAGTTAAGGTTTGGGGGTGGGGGGATGAGGAAGATTGGGAAAGTCGGGACGGGCATATTTATATTTACTACGTCTGTAGATTCTCGCTGACCATCTTTTGGTTGACAATTCTCAAACATCTGTGGAGCCAGTACATTACATTGCCAACATATTTCAATCTTTTCATTTTAATGTATTCAGAGAAATTAGACAAAATGCGTCATAGCGTGCATGTGAACTTTGCTGTCCTAACTGGCTTGAAGTCTTTTGTCTCGTTTTATTTTTGTTTCATGTGATACCGAAAGGATTAATTTAGGGGTGATAACCTGTTTTGTTCTTGTTTATCAAAACTGTTCGAATGCTCGCACTATCGCTCGGCATTTTCCTTGAGTAGTACTTTGAGAATGACCAAGGTTAGAATCGGCAATGAACAGTTTTTTTTTTTTTTAACTTGACTGGTTATGGGGTTTTCACAAAGCTCTGGAACCAGGCTGGGTCCTATCTCAGCAGATGGAGGTGAAATTCTGAGGTTCTTCTCTGTAAACTAGTGTCGCGGCGTTGATAGAGGCTAAAACCTATGCGCGGGTGGTTGGCGGGTGCTGTGGAGTGGTTTGCTCCTTCTTAGGCTCTCGGACTCGCAACCGTAAGGTCGTGGGTTCGAATCCCGTCAAGGTCCCGACGTTGTGTCGTTGGGAAAGGCACTTTACACGAATTTTCCTCACTTCACCCAGGTGGGAATGGGTACCCGGCTATAGACCGCGAAAGATCTTGTCAGTTTGTTAGTGTTTGAGCGCTTAATCGGCTGCTTGCACTGTATGCTTCCCGGGAAGCTGAGAATGTTTCGGAGTGTTCTATGGTCTGCTGGGGTAATAATATAGTGTAAAGCGCATAGAGCCTGCTGCTGAGCGGGGATATGCGCTATACAAATGCTATCTATTATTTTTATTATTATACTTTTCTATCTAGCATATTATATTGTCCGGATTTCTCTTCTTTTTTATGTTTGGTGTTCGTTTTATATACTATTATTCTTATGGTGTTGCAAGTACCGTAAAACTCGAACCAAACGAAAAGCTGACTAAGAAAGCCAGTGACGCACCAAACGCGACTCGTGATAGATGTAGACACCGAGCAAGACATAATCAAAATTACTAACATAGATCTAGCAGAAGCCGAAATCTCTATCGCAATGTTGTCTAGCGTTACTTTGAAAGTGGAAGAGGTCTGTTTGTAACATCTCTGCTGCCGAATCGTTTTAAAATAATATGTATATGTGTGTGAATTTGTGTGCGTGTACATATATATCTTTGTGCGCATGTGTGTAGTGTGTGTGCATGTGTGTGTGTGTGTTTGTGTGTTTGTGTGTGTGTGTGTGTGTGTGTGTGTGTGTGTGTGTGTGTGTGTGTGTGTATGGCAATCGCCCAGACGCCATCGTGCTGTTTATCAGAACATATTATTTGAAGTCACCCTCTCCCAGTCAACAATAGCTTATAGCAGTAGCAGCTGGGCATTTTGATCTGTGATTGAAGACCCCAATTATACAAGTAAGGTCTCGCATTTGGTTGTGTGGTGTTTTAAAGTTTCTATTTTATTAGTATTATTTTTAGTTTGGTTTTGTTTCTTGAATTTCCAAAATGCCATCACCTCGCCACTAGGGAATGTCTGGTGGTTGGAGGGTTGTGAGAAGTATGACTCTTTAGTTGTTTTTGTTTGTTTGTTTGTTTGGTTTTTTTGGTGT